CACTCGTCGGTTGCACAGGCTTACCTCGTGATGACGCTAGATCATCTGTTCAGTGACCTGTTCGTCGTCGTCAGCTTGCTGCTGGTGCTCCAACACTCCCACTCGACGAACACCAAGACGGTCGCGGAAATACTTGAACTTGGTGGCTCCCAGAGCCTTGGTGAAGTGGTCGGCAATCATCTCCGACGTAGGGCAGTAGTTGATGTGAACTGCGCCCTCTTTCACCTTCTCACGAAGCCAGTGATACTTCGTGTCGATGTGGCGCGATCGCTGCGTCACAGCTTTGCTCTCAGCCAGGTGTTGAGCTCCTTGATTGTCTTCGAACACGGTGATCTGGTCAACTTCCAGTCCCAAATCCCTTAAGACCAAGTTGATCCCAATACACTCCTGGACACCGCTCGCCATCGCAATGTACTCGGCTTCGGTGGAAGACAGCGTCACCATCGACTGCTTCTTCGAGCCCCACTCGATCAGACAGCCATCGTAGAAGATAGCGTAGCCCGTCGCCGACTTAGCATTGCGCTCCACTCCGAATGCAGCGTCGCAGTACACTGCGAGTCCTTTTGCAGCACTGCTCTTGTACACCAGCCCAAAATCTTGTGTGCTGCGCAGGTACCGAAACACGTGCTCAACGCCGTGCTTGAGGCGTTCGGTTGGCGTCTCGATCTCTTGAGCAAGGATCCGCACTGCAGTAACCACATCCGGTCTAGTGTTCACAGTCAGATACAGCAGCGCTCCGATTGCAGGACGGGGACGGAAACTAATCACCTCCTGTTCCTTGAAGAGCTGATCACGAAAGCGCTCTTCCATCGGTGTGCGTGCTGGCATTGCCTTATCCATGTTGAACCTCTCGAGGATCGACTTGGCATACTTCTGCTGCCCGATAGTCACTTCGTCACCACTTGGCGACCACTGCAGCTCCAATCCAAGGAAGTAGCTGGCATCCTCGAAGTCATTCACCTCGTATGCCGCCTCCATAGCTGCCTTGAACGAGGCCAGGTCCTCATTGTGCGATGCGAACACCAACATATCGTCAACGTACACGAGTACAATCATCAGATCATCATCATCTGTGCTGCCCTTCAAGAACAGGCAGTAGTCAGCTTCCCCTTGATAGAAGCCCTCACCCTCCAGGAAAAGACGCAGGTTCTCGTACCAGGATCTCGACGCTTGCTTTAGCCCGTAGAGAGCCTTGCACAGGCGCCACACGTGTCCTTCAGCATTCTTGTAGCCTGCAGCTGGTTCCAGGTAGATCTCTTCGTCCAAGGCTGAGTTGAGGAACGCGGCCTTCACATCTAGCTGCATGCGCTTCATGCGCCGCCCCACCACAATGACTAGCACAAGACGAAGTGTGCTGTGGCGCACGACCGGGCTGAACGTCTCCGTGTAGTCCACTCCGAATCGCTGACTGTACCCCTTCGCGACTACACGCGCTTTGTACTTGTCCAAGCTGCTGTCCGCAAGAGTTTTCCTTTTGAACACCCATTTTGACTTCACAGTGGTGCGACCTGGAGGCAATGGTACCTCCTCGAACGTCCCATTTTCCAGAAGACTCTCGATCTCGACGTCCATTGCATGCTCCCACTCGCTTCGATCATCAGACTCGTAGACTTCTTCAATGTTGAGCGGCTCGACACCCAGTGCCCAATTGGTAATGTCACTTGGTGTTAGTTCGCTGTAGATGTAGCCGTCTCGAACGTTCGTACCATCAACTGCTGCATGAAACACACGCTCTTCGATCATCGTACAGACCTCTTCCATGGTCAAGTGCGACTCATTGTAGTCCAGCTTGCGCTGGCTTGGCCTCGGGATCCTGCTGGACTTGCGAACAGGATTCTTTGCCTTCTCTGGACGTGGGTCTCATCGAAGCCGGGCTTCCAGACGAGCGACTCCCACTGGTTGCGAGCTCCCACTCGTTGGTTGATCTGGTGTTTCCACCTCGCTGCGCGCTCCGCTCGGTGTCGGCGCCATTGCCACGTCCTCCTCACCGGATGTCGGCATCATGGGCACATC